TTCCTTTACAGAACTGTAACCGGCGGTTTACAGCCACGCGGTGGAGGCGGGAGAGGGGCAGCATACAGGGATCTTTCCCTGGGACAGACGCGAGGGGGTGGGACAGGGGCAGAGTTCATGCTTGCCGGATTGCTGGCAGCAGGGACTGGCATTGCTTTCAGTGTGAAAGGAGGCCAGTGCAACTATCAAAGTTTTAAGCAGTCACAAGTATACGGCTTACCATGTCGGCCTGCTACACAAATTCCGGTGTCCTGCCCCGCTTCTCTGATCTGCACTGCAAGACCCCAGGCACTGAATGCGAGGGCCGAAAATTCGACCTTGTTCTGAGTGCGCATGTGATAGGTGCTGTGCATGGTCTTGTTCACAGAGAAAGACTATGTTCTTTGTTCACAACGAAATTTATCTTTCTGAGGAATTCACTCCCTTTTTCCCATTCCCACAGCTGCGAATGTATCACAACATAGCCTGGCATCACACACCCAGAGGCTAACGCAGATGAGGCGTAGGAAGAAGAGGACACGGGAGAACATGTTCTCCGAACTTATGGGCTGCTCCCGAGCCCAGGCAGCCCAGCAGACACAGTGGAGGGAGAACTTGTCCCAAATGCAACGAGCACACATGGAACGGGAGGAGAGGTGGCGGCAGGAAGACCAGCAGGCGACTCAAACGCTGCTTGGACTAATGCGGGAGCAAACGGAGACGCTCCGGCGCCTTGTCGATGTTCTGCAGGACCGGAGGCAGGAGGACAGAGCCCCGCTGCAGTCTATCTGTAACCGCCCTCCCCCGCCACCAAGTCCCATACCCCCCTCACCCAAAGTCCAAAGAAGGAGGGGCGGCAGAGTCCGTGAAAACTCTCACTCCACCCCTGCAGACTGCTCAAGCACCAGAAGGCTCTCATTCCCCAAAATTTGAAAAGTCCTTTCCTTCCCGCCTCACCCAAGCCCCCGTCCAAGTTTCACCCCCCAGTTTCATGTGTAGTTGTTAATAAAAAATACGTTTCTGTTCATTACTGTTTCCATCATGTTCTTTAGAGGAGAGTCTGTCTGAAGGGGGGGAAGGGGGTTGGTAATTGGACAGGACAGCAGCAGGGCACACACACATTGCAGTCACTAGTTACCCTGGTCAGTCTGGGAGGTGGTTTTAGTGTTCTGTGGGGGGTGGGGGGGGCTCTGTGACTTTGTGGCGGGGGAGGGCAGTTAGAGATCTTATGCAGCGGTCCTTATCCTGGATCACAGAGCCACACAGCAGGGGATCTGTAACCGTCCTCCCCCTGCCACAAAGTCACATAGCCCCCACACACACACAGTCCCAAACAGGAGGGGTGGCAGGCTCCGTTCAAACCACCAGTCCACCACTGCGGAGCCTGTCATTCCTGGAATTTAGAAGCGTCATTTGCATCACTACACTACACCCGCTCCCCACCACAGTCTGCGTCCCAGGTTCAAAACTTTCCCGCGAAAACAGTAATTAAAAAAACGGTGTTCATTAACAAAATTCAAGTCATTTTATTTTTAAACGTGTTTTGGAAGGGGGGGAACGGGGTATGTAAATGGAGAGGATACTGAAGATTTAGTGGGTAAAGAAACGGGTGCAGGTTCAGCTTCTATGTACACAAACTGAAAAGTCACAGGTTACCCTGCTCACTGTGGAACCTAGCTTTCAAAGCCTCCCGGATGCACAGCGCGTCCCGCTGGGCTCTTCTAATCGCCCGGCTGTCAGGCTGGGCGTAATCAGCAGCCAGGCTATTTGCCTCAACCTCCCACCCCGCCATAAAGGTCTCCCCCTTGCTCTCACAGAGATTGTGGAGCACACAGCAAGCTGCAATAACAATGGGGATATTGGTTTCGCTGAGATCACAGTGAGTCAGTAAGCTTCTCCATCTCCCCTTGAGACGGGCAAAAGCACACTCCACCACCATTCTGCACTTGCTCAGCCGGTAGTTGAAGAGTTCTTTTTCAGTGTCCAGGGCGCCAGTATAGGGCTTCATGAGCCAGGGCATTAGCAGGTAGGCTGGGTCCCCGAGTATGACTGTAGGCATCTCCACATCCCCAAGACTTATTTTGTGGTCCGGGAAGTAAATACCTTCCTGCAGCCGTCTAAACAGACCTGAGTTCCTGAAAACACGAGCGTCATGAACCTTGCCCGGCCATCCAACATTGATGTTTGTAAAACGTCCCCTATGGTCCACCAGTGCTTGCAGCACCATTGAAAAGTAGCCCTTTTGGTTAATGTACTGGCTGGCCTGGTGGTCCGGTCCCAGGATAGGGATGTGAGTTCCATCTATAGCCCCACCGCAGTTTGGGAATCCCATCGCGGCGAAGCCATCTATGATGACCTGCGCGTTTCCCAGGGTCACTACCTTTGAGAGCAGTACCTCAACGATTGCGTTGGCTACTTGCATCACAACAACCCCCACGGTAGATTTGCCCACGCCAAAGTGGTTCGCGACTGACCGGTAGCTGTCTGGCGTTGCAAGCTTCCAGAGGGCTATGGCCACTCGCTTCTGGACAGTCAGGGCTGCTCGCATCCGGATGTCATTGCGCTTCAGGGCAGGGGACAGCAACTCACAAAGTTCCATGGAAGTCCCCTTCCGCATGCGAAAGTTTCGCAGCCACTGTGATTCATCCCAGACCTGCAGCACTATGCGGTCCCACCAGTCCGTGCTTGTTTCCCGGGCCCAGAATCGCCGTTCCACAACATCCATATGACCCATTGCCACCGTGATGTCCTCGGCGCTGGGTACCGTGCTTTCTGACAGGTCTGTGCCACTCTCAGACTTCAGGTCCTCACCGCGCTGCCGTAGCCTCCTCGCCCGATTTCTCAGCATCTGCCTCTGGGAAAGGTGGATGATAAGCTGCGAGGTGTTGACAACGGCCACAACTGCAGCGATGGTAGCAGCAGGCTCCATGCTCGCAGTGCTGTGGCGTCCGCGCTGTCACTGACCAGAAAAGTGCGCGAATTGATTTCCCGCCAGCGCTTTCAGGGACGGAGGGTGGTAGTGACGGACGGATGACGACAGTTACCCAAAAACACCCTCGACACATTTTTTTACCCAGAAGGCATTGGCGGCTCGACCCAGAATTCCAATGGGCAGCGGGGACTGCGGGAACTATGGGATAGCTGCCCACAGTGCACCGCTTCCAATGTCGACGCTTTACCCGTTAGTGTGGACTCACAAAGTCGAATTACCATCCTTAGTGTGGACACACACGTTCGACTTTGCAATATCGATTCCACATATTCGATTTAAGTAAAATCGAACTACTCTCGTAGTGTAGACATACCCTTAGGCTACGTCTTCACTACGGGGGAGGGGGGAGGGGTCGATTTAAGATACGCAAATTCAGCTACGCGAATAGCGTAGCTCAATTCGACGTATCCGAGCTGACTTACCCCGCTGTGAGGACGGCGGCAAATCGACCTCCGCAACTCCCCTGTCTACGGCGCTTACTCCTACCTGCGCTGGTGGAGTACAAGCGTCGATTCGGGTATCGATTGTCGCGTCCCAACGAGACGCGATAATTCGATCCCCGAGAGATCGATTTCTACCCGCCGATCCAGGCGGGTAGTGAAGACGTAGCCTAAGAATGCAATTCTTTGCTAGAAGACTGAAATAAAGTTTGTTTAAAAGTTACAACATATTTTGTATAAAGAGTTATACAAGGTTTAAAACTTACAGCTTGAACACTGTTTGCAGTGTTGTTGCAACAGTGTTGGTCCCAGGATATTAGATGTAACAAATTATACAATGTTACTAATCAAAGCCAATATTGTTACTAATGACCTAAAGTAGAATGCAGACACAGGAGTAGTGCTGACACGTTAATGAAGACATAAGCTATGAGGACAGTTCAGGAGTTATCTCCACATGACAGAGGCTTTAGGAAGATTCAGTGTATCCAATATAGGGCTTACTACCCCACTACAGGACTTCAGGAAGGGGAAGAGCATCTTTGTGCACTGACTCACCACCCTAGTGAGGAGGGCTTTACACTCGGTTCAAAGGGGACAGGTGACAAAAGGGCAAAAAGGTAAAAAAGGGCAACCTTTACCACAGGTAAAAAAGGGCAACCTTACCAGAAGGTAAATGTTGGGAGGGGCAGAGACATGGAAAATTGCAATAGAGTCATAGAAGCAACAAGAGGGAAATAAGTGGGGGAATCTGCTCAAAATCTTAGATGTCAATACAGCAATACAAGGAGTATGGGGAATAAACAGGGAGAATTTAGTTTATTAGTACATAAACTAAATTATGACTAGTCTTGGATGGTTTAGACACAATAAATCTTGCATTAGACTGGATGACCCTTGCAGTCTCTTCTAACCCTATGGTTCTATGATGTATCCAGCATCACAGATACTGGAGTGGAGAATATGCGTATAAAATCTGTGGAAGACACCAAGCTGGGAGGGGTTGCAAGCACTTAGGAGATTTGGGAATAACTGGGTAGGTGGCAGCACTACTGAAAATGATCTGGGGGATGCAGTGGATCACAAATTGAATGTGAGACTATGTCTACACTACCACTTACGTCAGTATAACTTATGTTGCTCAGGAGTGTGAAAAAGCCACACACACAAGTGACATAAGTTACACCGACCTAAGCGCCGCTGTGGATAGCTTGTTGAATCAAGTTGGGGTACATATTACTTTTCTATATGCAGTGGAGATGTAAGTGAATGCCCTTTGGAGAGAGCGGTCAACAGCAAAATGAAGGTGGCAAGGAATGTTAGATACTTTCCCTTTTATCTGTTATTTCCCTGTTTTCCAAGATATGGGTGGGTGAGATGGGTCTTGGTGCAACCTTAACCATCACTCAGTGTTATCTGTTAATTATATAGACTATAATATCACACAATTTATTGTTTTACAAATTGCTTTAAGTAGTCAGGAATATCCAGGATAGAACGGAATTTTATTGTTAAAGAGGTTAACCTATAACAGCTGAACTCCGAAGCTGCTCAAAAAACTTTGTTATACAAGAAGAGATACAACTTACCTTATTACCACATTGTAGGAGTCAATTTTCTCCCCTAGTGTCTTGTTTCGAAGAACTCCTCCATTACCAACAACAACACACCTTCTACAGATCACACTGTTGAACAAACAGAGCTTTAATATGCATGCTCATCAAACATATCAAATTTATTAGGTTTTCCTTTAAGTTGTATCTGTCTTATGAACCTTTGGCTTCAGGGGTAGCACAGAAACCAAGAACAACAGAATATGGCTTAAGGTGGGATTTTTAGTTTAGTTACCATTGTTTGGATTGGATTTGTGTGTGGTAAAGTGGGTATCCATCAGCACCCAAGCAGCATTTGATGTCAAACACTGACATTATAACATTCCCAACCCAGATTGAGTTATTTCTGAAACTGTCACAGCCATGAAACAATGACTTTTTTTATCCAACACCTAGCATTTACAGATCACATTTCATCAATAAATAGCAAAGCACTCTACAAAGGGCACTCCTTGGAGTTGGTTTTATATGACTATGTGACAAGTTAAGGTACTACTCAACATGACTAAGGTTCTGTAATTTAGCCTATCGAGTAGTACTTCAATATACAAAGCAGTCCCATTTCTTTCAATGGGACTACTGATTTAGTAAAGTAGTACTTGACATAAGCAAGGGTGGTGGAATCAGACCCAAAGACAATACTGAAAAATAAAGCTTACAGAAGCAGTGGCAGATTAGCCACTGGACTGACGGGGCCTGTGCCCAGGGGCCCCAGCCACCTGGCGGGCCCTGGAAAAAATCCGCCACTTGGCAGCGGAAGCCCAGAGCCCCGGCCGCCAGAGCGGGGCATGGGAAGTCCCCATGCACTGACCCTGCTTTGCAGCAGCAGCCATGGGACGGGGGAAGCCCCCCACCCAGCACCCACCATACCTGCTCTGCAGCAGAAGCCACGGGGCAGCAGGGGAAGCCCCAGTGCCTGACCCTGCTCCCCACAGAAACGCTGGCGGTGGGGGGGGAAGCCCCAGCACCCATACCTCGGCTGCGGCCCTGGGACTGGGGGAGCTCTCACTTTCTGCTGAGGCCCCAGACCATGGCACGGGGACAGAGCTTCTCCAATCTTGGGGTCACAGGGGGGGGGCGCAGAAAGGAGCAAAAGGATTCGTGGGGCTGCAGTGCGGGGGCAGAATGAGGACGACCCTGGGTGGAACAGGGGCACCCCAGGGAAGAGGCAGAAAGGGGTGGGGCTATAGGCGGGGCTGCAGGCGGAAGGGGCAGAATGGGGGCGAGGCCACAGGCAGAAGGGGTGGGGCGGAGTCCCCCAAAACCTTAATCTGCCTCTGTACAGAAGAGGTGAGACGAGCCAATGCTATGTCCCTCAGGCCTAGTCAAAGTGTTATAATTAAGGCTAAGATTTAGTCACGGGTATTTTTAGTAAAAGTCATGGCCAGGTCATGGACAATAAACAAAAATTCATGGCCTGTGACCTGTCCATGATTTTTACTATAAATACCCCTGACTAAATCTTAGCTGCTCCTGGGGCGCCGATGTTCTGGGGGACCCAGGGGCTGACAGCTGGCCCCTGCTCCAGCAGCAGGGGCTGAATGCCTCTGGCTGCCCACTGCTCCAAGGCCCCTGGGGACTGCTCTCCAACAGCCTCCGGGATGGCCCCTGGGACCGCTGCTGCTCCGGCAGTAGCCGGTGCAGCCGGCCCTGGGGCTGCCACAGCAACTGCATAAGTCTTGGAGGTTCCAGAAAGTCATGGAATCCATTACTTCTGTGACCGCCGTGACCGACTCACAGCCTTAGTTATAATGATCTCACTTGTACGGTAGCTTTTCAATAGCAGTTCTGTAGCCATATCTGCACTGGGAAATGCCTTTCCTTTACAAGGGGTTCTTGCTCAGCCTGTAACACATCTCAAAGGTCAATGGGTAGTTGTCTAACAAAATTGAATTTTGCAAAAAGCAGTCCCAAGGCTTGAAATGAGGTGCAAAGGGCTGGCACACCATCCCAACACATCTTTGGTGGCTCCAGAGCAGTTTCCACAGTGGTGCAGGCTCCAGCAGCACTTACCTCAAGCAGCTCCCAGAAGCAGCAGCATGTCCCCCCTCCGGCTCCTATGCAGAGGCACGGCCAGGTGGCTCTGCGCGCTGCCCTGTCCGCAGGCACCGCCCCTGCAGCTCCCATTGGTGTGATTCCTGGCCAATGGGAGCTGCAGAGGCAGCGTGCGGAGCCCCCTGGCTGCCCTTACGTGTAGGGGCCAGAGGGGGGACATGCTGCTGCTTCCAAGAGCCATGCAGAATGGGGCAAGCCCCCCATCCCACTCCCCACCTGGAGTGGGGCAAGCCACGGACTCTGCTGCCCAGCGGGAGCTCAACGGCTGGATTAAAACGTCTGGAGGGCCGGATGCTGCCCCTGGGGTGTAGTTTGCCCATCTGTCTTACCCTATACTATACAGATTTCTTGGGGGAGACCAGCGTTTCTCAAACAGGGGGTCCTGACCCAAAAGGTGCTGATTGGGGGTGGAGGGTCACAGTATTGCCACCCTTACTTCTGCGCTACCTTTTCAGCTGGGTGGCCAGTGAGTGGCGGCTGTTGGCCAGGTGCCCAGCTCTGAAGGCAGTGCCCTGCCAGCAGCAGCGCAGAAGGGTGGCAATACCATACCATGCCTCCCTTACTTCTGTGCTGTTGCCTTCAGAGGTGGGCAGCCAGACAGTGGCAGCTGCTGACTGAAGGCCCAGCTCTGCAGGCAGCGGCACAGAAGTAAGGGTGGCAATACCAGACACTGCCATCCTTACTTCTGCGCTGCTGCTGGCAGCAGCTCTGTCTTCACAGCTGGGCTCCCGGCCAGCAGTTGTCACTCTCCAGTTGCCCAGCTCTGAATGCAGTGCGCTGCTGCTGGTGGTGGCAGAAGTAAGGGTAGCAGTACCGCAACACCCCCCTCCCCCCCCACACACCTCTTTTTTGGGTCAGGACCCCTAAAATTACAACACTGAGATTTCAGATTTAAATATCTAAAATCATGAAATTTACGATTTTTAAAAAACTATGACTGTGAAATTGACCATGAATTTGGTAGGGCCCCAATGATGAACATCTGAATGTTAATATAATTAACTGATTCCTTGATGAATATTTTAGCTGAAACATCCAGCTAATGGCCTAATTCAGTATGGTTTGGTATCACAGAAGTTAGAGACGGAGAAAGCCTGTTTAGTCATTTTTATCCATCTCTTCAGGCTGTAATAGAAAGAGAGAGCCTGAGACATGAGGCCTGGTATAAGAGGCCTGGTATAAGGCCTAAGGCCTGAACTAAAGTAATCAGGCCCTGCTGATATAAAGTAAAGTCAGCAAAAGTCAGGCTGTGAGCAGAAGTCAGGCCCTGTTACAAAACATGCCTACTTGCAAGTTCACAGAACCTGGCAAGAACAAGGCTGGTATTGCAAAAACACAAACAGCCCTAAGAAAGGCTAGGCACAGGACATTCATGTAAACACATTCCAGCAGGTTAGTATCAGAACACCCCAACAACAAGTATGGTATAAGCACACTCCCCAAAGATAATATAGGTCACGCTGACCCCTCCTAAAGATAAGGTCAGGGTGACAGATAGAGATGTTTTGACCAAACCAACATGTACAAGGTAAAGGGAGGTAACTAACCACATCAGAAGGGCAATATGTAACTTGTTTGTATCAGTGTATAAAAGAAGGGTCACAGGGGATGTGCCTTTGTCCAGCCAAGGGGGGAACAGAAAGTCCTGCCATTCACTGAAGTGGCCCATTGTATCGGGCATACAAGTCTTAGTATCCCTTTCGAGTCTATGGGGTGCTATTACTGTGCTTCGTCAACAATAAACCTGGCCGAGCACCTTCACTACTGTGGTCTTCGTGGGCAGTTCTATCAGAGTCTGCTGTGTGAGCTATCTGGCCAGATCCAGCAGCGAGAACAAACGAATGCACGCACACAGAGCCAACAACTGAAGACACAGGCCACTGCAGGATTGCTCCCTACAGTAGATTTTCCAGCTGTTTGTCCAATCTAGTTTTAAGATGTCCTGAGCAATGAAGCAAATGAATGTATCCTAGAGTTTAAATGGACCCCCCTCATTGCTGGAAAAATTGGAATAGAAAATGTCCTCTCTTAATTCTGCTCCATTGCTCCTAGTTATATCACAGGGTTCAAAGTGAGCCAACTGGGTTGTAGGAGAGTAGCAGCCAAGGGAAAGGGAAGTGAAGGGAAGCAGAAAGGCAGCCTCTAAGGGATGGAAAGAAAAGAGACAGAAGGCTAGTGGGGGAAGGAGGAAGGGGAGAAACCAAGAAGGAAGGGGCACAGCAAGGGAAAAATGTGTACTTTTCCACCAATTGTTTTTCCACTTTGAACTCTGAGCAGCACTAACAATGCAAATCAGTTACATCATAATAATCTGTCCTTTGATCAGTCCGTTTTTCATCTGCCAACAGCAACCACATGCCTCTTTAAGTGCTCAGTATAGATAACACCACCCGGATAGCCCAGGCACTATAAATAGTAGTTAATGTCTGTTATTTGCATGATTAGAGCTATCTGTTCTATTGTTCTTCTCCGCTTTTCAGATTCCAAAGTCAGCACAGCTGAGAATCTGGCCCTATAGATTTTTGCCAATGTGATGGACTAATCACCACTTATGAACAGATCTTTAGCTCACAGGTGTGGATTTCTCCACTGTTTCTCTCCCCCACTCCCTTCACCCCCAGGTGGTTGTTTTGTGTGAAGGTATAAAAAACTATGGACATCACTCTCTCGTCCATTAAGGCTGCTTTGTGCTGCTCTGATGATACAAAGTGTCCTTAAAGCTAGGTTAACCAGCCAATAAGAGATTCATCCTCTATAGGGGAATCCCCAAGTGGTAGAGAGCTACCACAGTAACTTCCAGGTCACCCCTTTCCCAATCTTTGGTTTAGGGGCCATGGCCAGGGCATTCCTTCACCTCAGCAATGCCTGGCTGCTGAAATGGCCCCTCAGGCCAGAAGTTGCTGCTCTTTGCCCTGCGGACTCCGTAGGTAGCTGGACAGCCCCAGGGTTGTGGGAGGAATAGTTGGCTTTGCACCTTGTCTCTCAAGCTGCACTGAGCACAGGCTGGGCCCAGATCAGGATCAGAGCATGTGTTCTGGTAGAGTTAGAGTACTTGTTGTTAGCTTGTTCATTCTATTTTCTCCTCCTCATGGTGCAGTTAAGACCTTAATCCACAGTCCTAGTACAACTGGTTAAACAGTATTCAATTAATTGAAAATTCAGTGAGATTTATAGCTTGGTAAAACACACACATTCCAGCCCCATTAGTGATACATTTTACACAGAATTTGAAAATACTGCTGAATATCATAAAAAAAGTGGCAGCCTCTGAATTACTGGTAAAGCATCCGATGTTGGTATCCAAAATTTGAAATTGGTTATCTAAGTCACTTGTAGATCGATTACACTTGGTGTTGTACACAGTAGTTCAGAATCCAACAACTATCAACAACCAAATCATGAAGACTAGTTTTGCAGCTCTGCCTATACTAAGGGGCTTGAATAGGCTAAATCCATCTGGAAGTCTAGCATATGCAAATTGTTTCTACATTATTTTTATCCTCCTTATGTAGCGTGTGCAGTAGCATCTGATCACTGTCTACCTTTGAGAGATGATGGAAATGGTTTAAGCGAATGGATTAAAATTATACAATATAGTTGTTGCTTTATAGCAGATATGTTCTGCTCTTGGTCTGATTCTGTTTCATAGGAGCCTTGGGTATGTAGCAGAGACTACTGGAGACATCTGTAACAGGACTAGACTTTGATCAGAGAAACTTTGATTTAAGGACAACTTCTTCTAGTGCAGACATGGAAACAGATTGGCTGCTAAGACTATGCTCCAGGTATCAAACATGCCATTTTTAATAGCTTGTTATTCCTAGGACACTTTAGCAAGCACACTTAACAATTAATTGGCAGTAAGTGTGCTGTGAGTTAACCATAACTGCTGTAAATTGAACCTCAAGTACACCTCTACCTCGATATAACGCTGTTCTCGGGAGCCAAAAAAATCTTACTGCATTATAGATGAAACCGCGTTATACTGAACTTGCTTTGATCCACCGGAGTGCGCAGCCCCGCCCCCACCCCGGAGCACTGCTTTACCGCGTTATATCAGAATTCGTGTTATATCGGGTCGTGTTATATCGGGGTAGAGGCGTACTGTCGATCTACTTATATTTTAAAAGGTGGTGGTGGGAGAAGGCGATAAATAATTGTGTCTAACACAGTGGGAGGTCTACATAAAGACCAGAAATCTAAAGGACCACTCCTCTGTTATATTAATATCTGGATTACTCGTGTGTCCAGCAAAGTCTCCTTTCTCCACACATACACACACACGCCATCTTGGATTTACCATGCTGGGGAGCCTATTAATTTGAAGTTATAAAAGCTTAATTTTAGTTTAAATATTTAATTTATTGCAAAGTGCCTCTTCTTGCATTTTCCAATGTTAAAAGAATAATTTTTAAATGAAAGCAAAGCCTTTCAAGTTTAAAATTACTATGGGAGAGTTCCTTCCTAAAAATGGGATTCAAAATAGATGGAAGACACAGTCCACTATTTCACTGCAAAAAAATAATCTCAACCTCCCTAAACAGGAGGTTGTGAAGAAGTTTATATGATTTTCTTTGAGGCTATTTGGCAAGGGTTGGGTGGAAAAGAAATGTTCTGCTTACTCACTATTGCATAATACATTTATAGTAGCTATTTTTATTGTTAATGGAAGCCAGGATTTGAATAAGAGTTATGATGAGAGAACATGTAAGTATCACGAATATACGTATCCCATATAGGGAACTGGCATGCTTGAAAGTACATGCAATGCAGCCTTTCAAAGCTATGGCTCAGACCTGCAAACCCTTACTCAAGTCAGTAATTCCATTGATTTCAATAGGACTACTCATTTGAGAAAGGGTTTGCAAAATAGGCTCTTGCAAAATATGCATTTCAGTTAAGACTGGATTTCAAAACTGCATCACTATAAAAAACAACAACAACATTTCCCTCCCCTGTTCACTCTGGACCGTTTTACCGGTATCCCATATAATTTGCTTATTTTTATACAGATTTGAGGTACGTGTCTTCATGGCCACAGTCCACTTTATACAAACATAATGTCTGAGCCAGAATAAGAAAGCTTACTGGACAGATCACTCTATATTTTGAGTAAACAAAGCTAAATTGCAGTAATACTAAATTGTTTAATTACTTAATTGCTGTTCTACACATCTGGGTATGGAAATTGTATGGCAGGCCATAATGCTCACGAAATTGGGGGTCGGGTTGCGGGAGGGGGTGAGGGCTCCGGCTGGGGGTGCGGGTTCTGGAGTAGGGCTGGGGATGAGGGGGTTGGGGTGTAGGAGGGGGCTCCAGGCTAGAACCAAGGGGTTCAGAAGGCAGATGGGGGGGGGGAAATCAGGGCTGGGGCAGGGGGCTGGGGCACAGGAGGAGGTCAGGGGTGTAGGCTCCAGGCAGCGCTTACCTCAAGCAGCTCCCGGAAGCAGTAGAATGTCTCCCCTCCAGCTCTTACGCGGAGGCACGGGCAGGTGGCTCTGCACGCTGCCCCGTCCGCAGGCACTGCCCCTGCAGCTCCCATTGACCGTGGTTCCCGGCCAATGGGAGTTGCAAGGGCGGCGCTTGGGGCGGGGGCGGCGTGCAGAGCCCCCTGGCTGCCCCTATGCATAGCAGCCAGAGGGGGGCCATGCTGCTGCTTCCGGGAGCCATGCGGAGCGGCCCTTGACCCTGCTCCCCCAGTGGAGCGCCGGAACGGGGCAAACCCCAGGCCCTGCTCCCCAGTGGGAGCTCGAGGGCCAGATTAAAACGGCTGGTGGGCCATATGCAGCCTGTGGACCATAGTTTGCCCACCCCTGTCTTAGATACTATAGTGATTCATGCTCTGTACATACTGCACAAATTAGATTCGTTAAAATAAAATATGTAGCACCTAGTCATCACATTTAGGCTTATTTAAACTACTGCCTGTTAAGTAACCACACTACCGATTGTTTTTACTACTAATGTATAATTCTGCAACAAAAATGAAAAAACCCTCTAAACATTATACAGCCCCCCTCCCCCAAATTTTGAGTGGAGAACAACATTAAAGGGATAAACAATCATGGTATTATTTTTGATCTATAGTGAGAATTGCTAAATTTAATTTTGCTACCTGGTTTTGCTCTGCTATCAAAATGTCTAGAAGACTCTTGACTGTATTCACTGTAGACACTACTGAATACAATGATCTTCTGAACCAACATCTGTGGGTTTGCTTCCTTCAAGACGCCACTGAGCAGCAGCGTGTTCTTTCAATGTGCAAAGTGTTCTGCCATTAAATAGCTGGCACTCCTCTACTCTATGAACAGCTTCTGCACTGGTCATTAGGGGCCAGGGTGTTTTTTTTTTTTTTTTTTTAAAAGTACATCGGCGCCTAAAGATAGGAAGCTAGTGCGAACAGGTACCCTTAGGTGCCTAAATATTTTACAAATCTTGCCCTTGATCCTCACCTCCCTAACTGAGACTGCCTGTTGTCAGACCATCTGTAAGTGAGAACAGGAGGGCTTTTTTAAATTGAGAGCTCCCTGGGGGGGAAAAATTCATCCAATGTTAAAAATGACCATTTTTCTCTCTCTAAAACAGGGGCCTAAAATAAGCTAAAGCTTGGGCTTAACCCCCAGTTTCTTAAGTTACAATATACAGAGTCCAAGTAGTATGTTTAAAATATGCCTTTGGTATTCTGATACAAGGCAATAATTTATAGCTTGATTTCTTTGAGGACAAAGAGACATAAATAAAAGAATAAATTACAATAAGCATTAATATTCTTTTATCAAAATTTATGTAGTATTTTCCATCTTAACCAGAAATATGGTAAATATACCTCGTTTGGTGCGTGGGGTACAAGGATATGTATGTTGCTTGGTGATTGAGTGTGGTTAGCTAGTTTGAAAATATGCTATCCTACTAAGAAATCAAAGTCCAGACAAAGTGGTGTCCACCCAGAAGACTTCAAAGGCCAAAACCTAATACACGGCAGTCAATGAGCAATCCACAGAGTTCCATTCCATCCCCATTCCCTATCAATCACTGGATTGCCAGAGACCGTCTTTTGTGGCTCAACACAAGGGAAGAGTCTAGGCACATAATAATGAAGTTGAATATGTATTCGAACTACTGGATTATTATTATTATTATTATTTTTAAATTTCCCCAGTATAGACATGGCCACTGTTGGTGACCTGGTTGAAAACCTACCTCAACCATGCCTTCTGAACTGGCACTAAAATCTTCTTAGTCTGGCCTATACTCATAGACTTTTCAAAAGAAAAGTCATAATATGGGCTTCAGGGGTAACTGCAATTCCCTAAGGTCAATAAGACTTTAAGGGCAAAGGGCCCATATTCAATTAGCAACCCCCTAAAGAATTCAACCCTCTTCAAAACAAAACCAAGATTCTAATTTACCCACAATTATTGAATGTTGACCCTACCTGAATTTAAAACTGGGCTTAATTATACATTGGGACCAGTCTCTATATTTTTTTAAAATACAGTGGGTCGGATTCTGATCTCAGTCAAACTACTGTAAATCCAGAATAACTCCACTGATCTCACTTTCTGACTGACAGTTACATTTTAAAACACAAGAACAGTAACAAAAACAAAAAAACAACCTCACCCATTATCTTCATTGAATAGTCCGCAGTTATGCAGTCTTGAAAGGGCTAGGCGAAAATAACTCTCTAGAAAGCAGAAAATGAAAAAAGTGTTTCAAATGAAAGTGGTCAATGTTTCACAGTGCAGAAATAAAGATACCACCTTGACTACAGCATTTTTAGCCAGAATAGCTTTTGTCCATTCATTGTCTGTCCAGAAAATAGAATCAGAACATTACCATAATCTAAGACTATATGTTAGTTCACAATACAGTTTTATGACAACTTCTCCAGGACAAACAGCTGCCCTACCTCTCCCATGCATGCCTGGGTCTGAGAACAGAATGGGATTCATGTTCAGAGACTACAGATCTGAGACTACTAGACACAGATGAATACAGTAAATATGGTGGACCAGAATCCTGGACAAGAATCGCAAATGGCAGCTTAAAAGGTCTACTGTTAGCCATTTTATCTATCTAAGGTAATCGAATGGCTTTCCATCATCATTAGCATTTGAGTGCCTCACAGTCTTTAATGTATCTATCCTCCCAACATGACTGTGAAGTAGAGAAATGATATTACCCTTATTCTACAGATGGGGAACTGAGGCGCAGAGAGACTAAGGACCAGAATTTTAAAGGTACGTAGAGATTGCTCCAGTCAGCATTACAAGGCACTTATGACCCATTTTCAAGTGATTTTGGCACCTAAGAGCCTAAATCCCATTGTCTTCCTCCCAGATTTTTAAACAGTGTTTAGGTGCCTATCTATATCTTTTGGTGCCTAAACACTTTTAAAAATCTGGCTATAAATACCTAAGTCACATTTTAACATGGGACTTAGCTGTCTAAGTCACTTGGCCTTGTCATGCTGCATGGGCAATGCCTAAATCCCTTTAAAAGTCTGACTTAAGTGACTCGCCCAAGGCCACACAGTAAGTGAGTGGCAAAGCTGGGATGAAAAATTAGTAGTTCTTGACTCTCATCTCTCTACACCATAAGAATTCAAGAACATAAGAACAGCCATACTGGGTCAGCCCAATGGTCCATCCAGCCCAATAGTCCATCCAGCCCAATAGCCTGTCTTCTGACAATGGCCAGTGCCAGGTGTTTCAGAGGGAATGAGCAGAACAGGGCAATCATCAAGTGATCCATCCCCTGTTGTCCAGTCCCAGCATCTGGCAGAGGCTTAGGGACACCCAGAGCATGGGGTTGCATCCCTGACCATCTTTGTTAATAGCCACTGATGGACCTACCCACCATGAACATATCTAATTCTTTTTTGAATCCAGTTCTAATTTTTGCCTTCATAACATCTCCTGGCAATGAGTTCCACCGGTTGACTGTGTGTTGTGTGAAGAAATGCTTTTTTTTGTTTGTTTTAAACCTGCTGCCTATTAAAATCCTTAGTTCTTGTGCTATGCGTAAATAACACTTCCTTATTTACTTTCTCTACACCATTCATGATTTTATAGACCTCTATCATATCCCCACTCAGTCACCTCTTTTCCAAACTGAAAAGTCCCAATCTGTTTAATCTCCCCTCATATGCAAGCTGTTCTACACCCTTGATCATTTTTGTTACCCTTCTCTGTACATTTTCTATTTCTAATATATCTCTTTTGAGATGGTGTGACCAAAACTGTATGCTGTATTCAAGGTGTAGGCATGCAATGCATTTACATAGTGGTATTATGATATTTATGGTCTTATTATCAAACCCTTTCCTAATGTCAAATATCAGAGGGGTAGCCGTGTTAGTTTGTAAGCACAAAAACAACGAGGAGTCCGGTGGCACCTTAAAGACTAACAAATTTATTTGGGAATAAGCTTTCATGGGTAAAAAACCCACTTCTTCAGATGCATTTGAAGATCCCACACCAAAGGTTCTTAAGCAACTAAGGGTATGTCTACACTACCTGCCGGATCGGCAGGCAGCGATCGATCCAGCGGGGATCAATTTATCGTGTCTAGTCCAGACGTGATAAATCAATCCCCGTTCGCTCTCCTGTCAACTCCTGTACTCCAGCTCGGCGAGAGGCGCAGGCAGAGTTGACGGGGGAGTGGCAGCTGTCGACTCACTACGGTGAAGACACCACGGTAAGTCGATCTAAGTATGTCGACTTCAGCTACGTTATTCATGTAGCTGAAGTTGCGTAACTTAGATCGATCCTCCCAGTGTAGACCAAGTCTAAGCAGTCATGGGATAAGAGGGAAGGTCCTCTCATGGATCAGTAATGGATTAAAAGATAGGAATAAATGGTCCATTTTCAGAATGGAGAGAGGTAAATAGCAGTGTCCCTGCTGTTTGAAGTGGGTTTTTTTACCCAAGAAAGCTTATGCCCAAATAAATTTGTTAGCCTTTAAGGTGCCACCGGATTCCCCTTTCCTAATGGTTCCTGACATTGTTAGCTTTTTTGACTGCTGCTGCACATTGAGCGGATGTTTTCAGAGAACTATCCACAATGATTCCAAGATATTTCTTGAGTGGTAACAGCTAATTTAGACCCCATCATTTTGTATGTACAGTTGGGATTATGTTTTACAATGTGCATTACTTTGCATTTATCAACATTGAATTTCATCTGTCATCTTGTTGCCCAGTCATCCAGTTTTGTGAGATCCCTTTGTAACTCTTCACAGTCTGCCTGGAACTTAACTATCATGAGTAATTCTGTATCATCTGCAAACTTTGCCACCTCACTGTTTATCCCTTTTCCCAGGTCATTTACAACTACGTTGAACAGCACTGGTCTCAGTACACACCCCTGGGGGACACTGCTAGTTACCTCTCTCCATTCTGAAAACTGACCATTTATTCCTCCCTTTGTTTCCTATCTTTTAACCCATTACTGATCTATGAAAGGATCTTCCCTCTTATCCCATGACTGCTTTGTTTGGTTAAGAGCCTTTGGTGCGAGATCTTGTCAAAAACTTTCCGAAAGTGCAACTACACTATACCCACTGGTTCACCCTTGTCTACATACTGCTTCTCTAACAATAGTAGTGTGTATATATTATATACTACTGTACCTGAATAAAAAAAAAGTAAAGATCCATTTAATAATTGATACTAAGGATGTCTACAGTGCACACCAAGCCTGGAATCCGACTCTGGTTTGAGCCCAAGCTCCCCTTCCCTCCACACACAAATCAGTCTGATTCGGGTCAGCAAGCACCCAGGACCCAGGTCCTAGGACCCTGCTAGGGGGTGTGTCAGAGCCAGACTTGGGTCCAAGCCCTGTCACTTTGCAGTGTGGATATAGTCAAGCTCCAGACCCAAGTCAGAAGGTCTGCATAATGTAGTACAGCTGTGAGACCCAGGTCATCAACTGTAAACCCAGGTGTACAATGCAGTGTGGACTCAAGTACGGGCGTGGAAACACTGGTGTTCACAAGCCCGGGTCCCACAGACCTAGGCTTAGTGTGCTGTGTAGACATACCCATTGATATAGCTTACATTTAATACTGTACTCATCCCTAATAAATACTTACCTGCTCTCTTTATTCCATAAGGTAACTCAAGCTTATCATTTCCATTGGACAGTGCTAGTTTCATGAAGTCATTAACACACAGGAATGGATATATTTTCTGACCACTAAGAGATGGGGGGGAAACAGAAAGTAATTTTAATAAAACACCCATGCCCATTTGAATCAACCAACAATGCCAGCAATCGCTTTAAACACCTTCTAAATCATACTTTAAATAGCATGCTATCAGTTTTTTTTAGAGAGACTAATGAAGGCATGGAAACAGCACAGCCCATGGAATGAGGAAAACATTTTACAACGTAACAGTATCAGAAGTTCAAACAGAAAGAAAGTCAGAGGGATAGATTCTCTGCTGGTGTAAACTGGCACAGACCCATTGAAATCAACACAGCTGTACCACTTCACACCAGCAGATAATTAGCCCCAAGTTTGAGAGAGTCTGCAACATGCTACAACAACGACATTAATTTTGGTTTGAAAATTAAAAATTCTTATTCACACTGGAGGCAAAAGAGAGGAGATCTAATGAAGGTTTTAAAAAAGTTATATGAGAGGGATTTCTCAGAGGTTAACCAGATGCCCTGCTCTGAAGAGATTTCCTTGTGTTCTCTTTAATATGTTTGGGAGGTGCTCAGATTCCATGTGGCACTGTGTCAGAACCTAAACAAAGGAGGCAGGTTATCTGCTCATTCAGAGGCTCCTCAGTAGCCGTATATCAGAATTATATCACACAAAGGAAGAAACTGTACGGAATAAGTTGCCACGTCAAGTCAAGTCAAACATACAAACGGTAAATCCAGACCTATAAAGTGCTGAATACCTTCACCTTCCATTGACTTCCATGCACAACTTCCCTTCAATGAGCGTGCATGTGATTTGACTTTAGTAAGAATTGAGGACATGCAGCACCTCACAGAAGGTGCTCTGCAATGTGCAGGATCAGGCCTTAGATGAGGAGGTTACTTACTTGTAACTGGAGGTTCTTTGCGATGTGAGTGTGACGTTACTGACAAACTGTGACCGTATAGATCATTGTTACAACCAGGGTCCTATGGTTGCACCAGGTCTTGTACAGAGGAGGCCAAGTGCGGTGTCTATGGGAAGGTTGTAGTTTGCTGGTTATGATTATGCTGTCTGTATGTGTGTATCATTTTTGTATTCGAAGTTATGAATATTGGCTAAGTACTTGTTTGATTCTAAGTAGCCTCAGTGAAGCATTTGGTCAGCTTCTTGAGAAAGGACTATTCTCAGTAAGTGCCCAATCAAGAAATACTTAATTGACAATGGACTTTGGGAGATGCCAATCCACATCTGAGCTTCCCTGGGAAAGTTCAAATTAACATGTAAACAATGGCGTCAGCCTGCAAAAAGCTGAATCATTCATAGACATGTGACTTGCCCAGGTGACTGCAAACTCCATCTTGTTGAGGGAATTTTACACAGGAGAACAAAGTGGTTTCTACCCACAAGAGAAAGACTATATAAGGCCCTGGAAACCCCTCCATTTTGTCTTCAGCTTGCTCAAAAGATAGCCTCTCCACCCCAAAGAGATGCCTGAAAGAAACTGGAACAAAGGACAGTAACTATGGGGGTGTAAGTGATTGCTGGACCCAGACTAGGAAGGAGTCTAGTCTATGAAAGAAGCTTATTGGAACATCTCTGAGGGTGAGATTTACCTGCATTTAGTTTCCTTCTGTATTAGGCTTGGATCTGTGTGTTTTTGTTTTATTTTACTTGGTAACTTACTTTGTTCTGTCTGTTATTACTTGGAACCACTTAAATCCTACTTTTTATAATTAATAAAAATCACTTTTTGCTTATTAATTGACCCAGAGTAAGTAAGTAATTCCTGGGGGAGCAAACAGCTATGCATATCTCTCTATCAGTGTTCCAGAGGGCGAACAATTTATGAGTTTACCCTATATAAGCTTTATACAGAGTAAAATGGATTTATTTGGGGTTTGGATCCCATTGGGAGCTGGGTGTCTGGGTGCTAGAGACAGGAGCACTTCTTAAGCTGTTTTCAGTTAAGTCTGCAACTTTTGGGGGATGTGGTTCAGACCTGGGTCTGTGTTTGCAGCAGGCTAGTGTGTCTGGCTAGACAGAGGTACTGGAGTCCCAAGGTGGCAAGGAAAGTGGGCTCAGAGGTAGTCTCAGCACATCAGGTGGCAGTCCCAAAGGGGTTTCTGTGACCCAACCCATCACAGTGTGGTCCCTATCTGTATTCCGCTGAGGGTTAAGCATGCGCACCATGTGTCCAGAGCTGGAGAATTTGAAAGTAGTAGCGTCCGTTGATCCATGCATGTGTCATTGCATCGCCTAATAGTTTCCTTCGAGGCAATAAAGGGCTGGGTGGACCAACCGTGCTCCGGTTCCTTCTCCACTGCAAATCAAACAGATCCACAGTAGAGGGGAAGCAGGGTGGAACTGGAATACAGATAGGGACCACACATCTTAAAGAAAAAATGGTTACTCACCTTCTCGTAACTGTTGTTCTTCAAGATGTGTGGCTCATATCGATTCCAATTAGGTGTGTGCGCGCGCCGTGTGCACTGTTGTCAGAAATTTTTTCCTTAGCAGCACCCGTCGAGTTGGTTGTGGAGCCCCCTGAAGTGGCGCCTCCATGGCGCTCCATATATGACCCTGCTGATCCGGCGCCTCCTCAGTTCCTTCTTGCCGGTTACTCCGACAGAGGGGAAGGCGGGTGGGTTTGGAATGGATATGAGCAACACATCTCGAAGAACAGTTATGAGAAGGTGAGTAACCATTTTTTCTTCTTCGAGTGATTGCTCATATTGATTCCAATTAGGTGACTCCCAAGCTTTAACATTGTCCTGCAACTGTAATTCATTTGTTATCAGGAATTCATGTATGTTTGGAAAAACTTCAGTGTTGTTTTCCTCCACTCAGCGAGCCCAGAATTCCAGCTCTTTGTCATCATCATTGACTTCAAATAGGTGCTCCTATTTGGGATTCCATAACTCTGAGCCCACAGCCCTTGAAGTCCTAGATTTAGATCATTCAGGCAAGAGAATATATACGACAAGTATCCCAGCCGTGAAAGCCAGACTGAATCATGCAGATAGTGAGAGAGTGGGAATGGGTGGTCTGTAAAGAATACCTTGACCTCAGAGTGAAGTTCAAAGAAACATGTCATGGCCTCGCCTCGTGGCAACCATCAAACATCCATGTGGAGCGATAGATTGATGTGCTCACTTCCCATTTCATAACAGTGGAAAAGATTTTGGAATTCAAGGGATGAACTTTTATAAAGTTTACCATCTTCACAGCATTGTCCAGCAGCCCACATCTGGCATCATGGGGTCCTTATATTCTCCTATTACGACAACTGGCTAGTAACACCGCAATCAAGAGATGTGGCTCAAGCCTCGATCTCCATGTTACTCAGACTCCTTTTCTCCCTGGGTGTAAGTGTAAATGTTGAAAAATCAACTTCGGTGCCCACACAGTCCCTTCATTTCATAGGGACCTCCATCAACGTGGTCTCAGCATGATCCTACTTACCAAGTGACAGATTCCACACCCGGCAGGAACTTGTCATCCAAGTAGTCAACAGTCCTTCTGTTCTGGTCAGGATTTGCCTGTCCCTCCTTGACCACCGCCTTCACTGTCTTCAGCTGTGGCTCCAGAGACTCTATTCACTCAAATGACATACCATGGACTTTCTGATGACAGTCGCCCCCTGAAATGCTCTCCTTCCTCCAGTGGTGGACAGACCTGAGGCCAGAGGTGGGCCACTACCACAAAGAAAACTTTGGTGAAGACCCATGGAGCAGTAGTGAGTCCAAATGGTAGGACTCGATAATGGAAGTGCGGAGGGCCTACCGTAAATCTCAAGAACCTTGTGTGGGTTGGATGGATGTCTATGTGAAAATAGGCATCCTACATATCAAGAGCCATAAACCACATGCCTCTTTCTCTTTCTAGTGCCAGCATGATGGCTGCTAAGGCGAACATACGAAATTTGGGTTTGCGGATGAAGCGATTGAGACGGTGGCGGTCCAGGATTGGTCTCCACCCGTCCTCCTTCTTGGGTACCAGAAAATAAGTGGAATAGAACCCCATGCTCGGATAGTTCAGAGGAATGTGTTCTACCACCCCCCTTTGCAGTCAAGAGTCTACCTCTAGAGTGAGTACGCTGTCATGGGTGTGGTCCCTGGGGAGGGATTGGGGCAGGGGATGTGAATGAGGTAGCTTTGTGAGCTCGATTGTATAGTCACGACGAACAACATCCAGGACCCATCTGTTGTTATTGCACTCCAAGCTGGTAAAAAGAGTGCTAGACCACCCCGAAGGGGGTGGGTCAGGTGCATGGCAGGAGGGAAGGTGGTTGGTGGTGCTCTAGGTGCATTCAGAAGTATCACTTCTGAGAGAACTGAGCATGTGATGCTGAAGGCTGTGAAGGCGGTCCCGGAGGACGGGGTCGCTGGGTCTTCTGTCGCTTGTGAGGTGGTTCATAGGGTCATTGGTGGAAAAACTGGGGAGTCCTGAACCGTTGTGCAGGTCACAGATGGTAGAATTTTCTCTTGGGTGCAGGGGTATAGATACCCAGAGATCATAACGTGGCTCCAGAATCCTTGAGGGAGTGAAGGAAACTGTCAGTCTTCTGGTTACACAGGGGAGACTCGCTGAAAGGGAGGTTCTCCTATGGTATTTTGTACCTCCCTGGGGAAACCAGATGAATGCAGCCACAATTCTCTCTGCACAAGCATTTCCATAGCCATTGTGCACCAAGAGGTATCCACTGCATTTACAGCAGATTGAAGTGCTGTTCTTGTACAAGTCTGCCCTCGTCCAGGATAGCCTGGAAACAGGCTTGATCTTTGCCAGTAAAGTTCTCCAATTTACTGAGAAAATTATATTTGGCCAATAAGGCCTGCTAGTTCGAGATCCAAAATAGGAGGCTAGCCAACAAGAAAACATTGCAACCCAAAAGGTCCAGCCACTTGCCCTCCTTGTCTGCTGGGGTGGAGCGTGGGTGCTGTCACCTGGCCCACTCCGTTGTCACTTGGATCACGAGGGAATTGGATGGGAGGTGGGACAATAGAAACTCAGACCTCTTGGCTGGTATGTACCACCTTTTTTCTGCCCCCTTGGGGTTAGGTGTGTAAATGGCCCGGGTATGCCAAACAGTCCGAGCCAGCTGAAGAATGGCATCATTGATTGATAGAGCAACCCTGGTCGGTACCAAGGCACGAAGGATGTCCAGAAGCTAATGCTGCTTGTCTTGTACTTCTTCCAGTGGAATATGAAGGTCCTCAGCCACCCTGCGTAGGAAGTCCTGGAACTGGCAGGTGGTGGAGAAACTGATGTCACAGCAGCATCTGGAGAGGATGATGGGAATCGTTCCTGTTCAATACTATCAGAACTGGACTGAGTGGCTCATCCTCCAAAACTGGTTCCAAACACCTACTTGAGGGTGCCCCAAGCGGGGATAGGGATGAACCCTCTCTTGCTGAATAGGAAGGCTCCAAAGGTGGACATTGAGGCCAGGACCCCCAATATGGCCAACAGGATGGATCCGGAGGATGCTGCAGAGGGCCCCATGGAGTGGGATACCAGTGGCTCCTCTGTTGGGGGAAAGTAGGGTACCGCCACGAAGCTGGTGGTCCCTTAGGGCACTTGTAGTGGTGGTAGGAGATGAGCGGCCCTTACACTTCATCCGAATCCTCCAATGATGAAAACTCGGATCCCAGTTCCAATGTTGGTGGACCATATAAACTATAGGCAAATGGGTGGAAGCATAAGTCGACTGAGGTAAGCCCTGGGTTGGAGATCGTACCTCAATAGGCACAGGCAGCAGAGTAAGGCGTGGCAATCTTGGTTCCCCAAGGGCAAAGAGTTCATGTTGCTCCAGCGCCATTTCCAGCCTCCCTGTAGCCAGAACTGGAGCTGAAGCAGAGGACTGTCTTGAAACCGACGGTTCCCTTGAGTTAAGGGGGGCCGACTTGGAAGGCATGCGTGGCTCAGTGCTCGGTACCACTGATCTGTGCAATTTCTTGTCTTGCTTGTGAGCCTTGGAATACACCGTTTCTCCATGGCTAGAACTCATGGAAGGTGTATCATCCTTCTTGGGCCTGGAGGAAGACTTACCATGCCATGCTTATGTGCATGCTTCCTTGCCTCCTGATTAGGCCCCAGCATGGGGTGCGTAGTACTAGTACCATTGGAACCAGACTCAATCTCCATGGTCGGAGGCATGCTCCTGGGATTCTCAGGTCGATGCACGTGGGGGGTTCCCCGGCCTGGATCTGACTGTGGCCTCATGGCAACCTCCAGAAGGTGCTTCTTGAGGCAGAGAACTGGGTATGGCTTGGGAAAGACAGGCAGATACTGCACCTTGATGAAATGTGGGTTTCTCCCAAGCAGTTAAGTAGAGGCAGTATTGGTGCTCGTTGCTGACTGAGAAGGAACACGGAAAGGAGGTGCAGATCTTGAACTCAATCATCTTCAGCATAATCCAATACCTAGGCATGGGGAGTGGGGGTGAGGGGGCATGGCACTGGTAAGCAGATTTCCCAAAGTCTCTTATCTCTTAAAAACAATTACTATACACTAAACTACACTAAAAACAGCAAAAACCAGAATAAAACTAACTATATGCAATTGTAAAACTGTTTTTATTTATTTATTTATTTAAGTTTGTCACAAACTAGAGGACACTAGCAGCTCCGACTTGGACCAGGCAGCAGTAAGAAGAAACTGGAGGCACAGTCAGTCCACCCTGCCCTTTATCACCTTGGAGGAAACCATGAGGCGAAGCAAGGGTGTATGAGCAGACCAACAGACACTACGGGCATGGCTACACTTGCAGATGTAGTGCGCTGTGAGTTAAAGCCAGCTTCGGAGAGTGCAGTAGGGAAAGCGCTGCAGTCTGTCCATGCTGACAGCTGCTTGCGCACTGGCGTGGCAACATTTGCGGCACTTGCAGCGGCATTGGGAGCAGTGCATTATGGGCAGCTATCCCAGCATGCAAGTGACTGCAACGTGCTTTTCAAATGCGGGTGGGGGGGGGGGGTGGCAGGGGGGGGGGGGGGGGGGGGAAGAGGGGGTTTTTGGGGGGGCCCTCAGTGGAACGCAATAGGGACCATCACTCAAAGAGCAACAAAGCGTTAAAATGACAATGGAGAAATGATTAGTGAATATTGTCCTAAGGAGGGAGCCTACTGTAACAGCTGTAAGGACACATAGGCAGAGCAGTGTTCTTTGGGACAAGTTAGTGCAGGGCGTGCTTTTATGTTTTTCATTTAATAAAAGACTGTAGAATAAATACTTCCATCATAGTTTAATGAGTCAATATTGCTACTTCCTAAAACAAACATCAAGATTTATTAACATTAAAAATATATTTAACAGAATAAACGTTCTTCTCCACGGAAATCTTTAGTAAAAGGCAAAAGATTTATACAATCTGAAGAGAAACCAGAGAAAACAACAGAACAAAAGAAAACCATGGAAATAAGTTATGTTATCTGAAATAAACAGGCTAGCCTAGATATGACACCAAACCCTACAAGTCAATATTATGATGTCGCTTTAGTAATAAGCTCTACTGTTCGCAGGTAGATGGAGTTTACTCCCTGCAAAGTGGACCTTAATTCCTCACTCTGTGATGTGAACGCACCTGGGTTTCTTTTCCATAAGGTTAAAAATCTTTTCATCCCTCCAATCTAACAAGTGACATAAGTGGAGGATCTGACCTTTGTAAATCAGCTCCATAGTGGAGCTAAGATAATTTACACCAGCCCAAGATCTGGCTCAGTATCCTAATTCTACTCCTGGGGGAATTCTGCATGACTGTGCACCTGCAGAAAACACCCTCCCTCCCTCCCCTGAATTCCTGTGCTTCCCTGCAGAAAACAGCAGGGAAGCAAAGGGAAGCCGCAACAGCGAGTGCAGGCAGTGGGTCTGGGGAAGGGGAGGTGGAAGGGGGGGGGGAAGAAGAGGCAGTGGGGAAGGAAGGGGGGGTGGAATGGGGAAGAAAGGGGGGGTGGAATAGGGCAGGGGGAGTGGGATGGAGAAGAAAAGGGGATAGGGGAATCATGGGGGGAAGTGGGAGCCTGGCTTGCAGCTTCCCCTTGGTAGCAGCTGGGGCTCCCCTGTTAAGCAGGCCCATCAAACTCTCCCCCAGACAAACCCTACCCCCCTATACCTGGACCCCTCAGATGAGCCCCCCACACTCAGACCCCCACCCCACTGAGCCCCAACCAGCTGCACCTGGACTCCCACCCCATCAAGCCCATTCACCCAGCACCCAGACCTCCCCACTTAGCCCCCCACACCCAGACCCCCCCCCCACTGAAGCCCAACCACCTTCACCTGGATCCCCTGCATAGTCCCATTGCCCCTGCACCCGGAACCCCACAATGAGTCCCTGTGCATCCAGACTGCCCCACACAGAAACCTCTCCCCCCCCACTAAGGCCCTCCACACTTAGATTCTGCTGGGCTGAACCTACCCACCCACACCTGGTGCACTCGGTGCAGAGGGGCAGGGCCCCGGGGTGTTTCTGGGGCAGGCCCAGCCCTTGCACTGTGTCAGGGTCAGGTGCAGCCTCACTGCCAAGTCCCTGTATTGGGGGAGGTGGGGGCTTCAGGGTGATCGCTCACCTCAATGCAGCCAGCGGCCTGTGCTCCCCACTGCCATGCTGGAGCCACATTTATTTATTGACAAATAAAATTTACAGAATTTTGCAGAAGTTTAAAATATTGTGCGCATAATTTTTATTTTTTTGGTACAGAATTCCCTTGGGGGTAATTTAATTCTTTTTCCCTTTTACCTCTCAAGTTACAATAAAACCAGAATACCTGTACTTTTGCTTCCTTAAATGGAGTAGGAGCTTTTGTGTTATGCCTGAGGATGAGGCTAATCAAACATCCCTTGTGCACAAAGGGGAGATGGAAAGTAAACCATCAGTAACTCACTTTTTTAGTTCATGGAAATGCAGATATTAAAACTCACATATTTCATTAAAGGTGGAATTAATTTTGACTCATTTGATGCATTGATTTCCAGAATAAGTTGGAGCTCCATCTTCAATGTGATGTGAGTTTCAAGAATGAAAGCATACTTCCATTAAAAGACAAGCTAAACAGAAACATACAGCCGAGTCCAGAGGTCCTTATTCAGTCCTAAATTGAGCTGAGATTTATAGTTTAGATTAAATTCATCCAGTACTTTCTATGCATACAGTGTCCCATAGCAGATAATTTCCCCAAATATATGTTGTTCAAAATTTACCCAACAAATTTTATTTTATTCTTAACTCTATGGATTGATCAGACCGTTCACCATGTGTACAAAGGTCCATTTTCACAAATTTGAGCTGTGTTAGTTTGAAATAATACCATGTAACTAATCCTGTTTCCTGATTGGATGAGCACAGTTTTTGGCCTTTGAACTAGACACAATTCCACTGAATGGTAGGTATTGCCACAGAACGTTAAGAAAGCACCTCCGACCTTTAGTCCTTTGGACCTTTAGAGCTCAAATCAATACCCACTGAAGTCAGCAGTGATAGTCCCCCTAACTTCAGTGAGCTTTGGATCAGGCCCTGAATGCACAAAAATCTCCCTGGATTACTATCTGAGTAACAGTAAATTCTGTCCTCAATTATAGCCATGCAACCCCACTGCCTTCAGTGAAGGCAGAGTTGGACCCACTGCTCTAGCCTACCGATTGGAGTGTGATAGGGTTACAGTTTAATAGCTTGATTTTTAGAGATGCTGAAAGCAACTGTGGAAGCACAGATCACTGAAAAATCAGATGAAGCCCCTGAATGATTGAGTTCTAGAAACAAAGGCTTTATTTACTGTACAAGCATGAAACACTGTTCTATTGTGTCTCCCTATTATGGAAATAAATTCACGATTATTAAATAATTATATTTAATTATTTATTCACTACAGATTCATAAGTATGCTCTGGCTGCTTTGTGCTGCCCTAGTGATGTAAAGTGACCACACAGCTGCTTCATGTTGACAGAGTGGCACAAAGCAGCTCATGCGTACTCAGGAATCTGACCCCGAGGGTCACATCTGATCTGGTAGTTACGATGAAAAATATTAATGGTCAAAATGTGTTGATAACTAAAATGTCTCTTCAGTTAGCACATTCCACCCACAATTTGGACTTACTTCCATAAAGACTCAAATGGTGGGTCCAATGAACAATTTTCTAGTCCAGATTTTCTTCGTGTAGCCGTAGGCGGCAGTCTAAAAGAAAAGAATATTAAAGAATTGATATGAATTGAACAGGCAACTAAAGCAGGCGGCAGCGACAGGGTGGGAAACTTTGACAACCAAGTTCAATACATTGATTTTTTTAGTTCTACTGATGTCAACAGATCCCACCAACAAATAAAACAAATAAAATAGGACCTAATAAAGGTTTGCAAGTAAATCTTCTGGTTGCTTTCATATTAACTTTACTACTTAATACTATGCTTCTTACTGGTAAGACTTTTATCATTCAGTGCTGCTCCAAGATACCTATCTTCATTACCTAGTAGTTATTAAAGCTGCTACAACTGGAGGTCAGGTGTTAGGGCCCTGTGTGGAGATACAGAACTCTTTTGCTGACTCACCCCGATAGCCACACCAGGTGGGGTCTTACTAGTTCTACTTAAAAACATAAATACTGAGTTATTCTGTGAGAAGAGAGAGAACATGGGGAGGGGAGGAGGAAATTCTGCATGGAGAAATCAGCCCATTCAGAATAAAGCTTGAGGAATAGGGCCTGGATCCACAAAAGGGCTTAGGCATTTGCAATACTGAGCATTGCAATGCCTAACTTTTAGGTGTCTAGAAAAAAATTAACTGGAACAACAATGGGATCCACAAAATTCAAGCTAGGCACCTCGGCTCCCTATATAATGAATGGGGAGAGATAGGTGTCTTAGAATGCATTCCACATAAGCCAACACGCTAGACGTGGTGCCACCTAAGGTAGTCAATGGGAGACGCTGACAAGAGGGTGTGTCCTAGCCCTGCTCCTCTCCTGGAGATAGGCAACTAAATCCAGGCTTCAGGAAGGCGCCTATCTCTGCTAGTGATCAACAAGCGGGAAACCCTCTTCTGGAGTTAGGTGGCTTACGTGCCTAAGACATTTCTTGAGAGAATAAGTTAGGCATCTGACCAAATCCATGTACAATGGGGGGAGGGGAGGCTCTCCCTTTCTTCCTTTAGCTTAGGGTATTCATCCAGGATGTGGGAGATGCCTGGTTCAAATCCCCCCCACCTAATAAAAACAAGGGATTTGAACAAGGATCTGCCATCTCTCAGATGAGTGGTCTATCCACTGGATTATAGCGTGAGTCTCTCTCTAGCCCAATTAATATTTAAATTATTTCCTTACAGTGGCACAACTTCAACAGGAGAGATTGGGAAGATTCACATCAGAATTCTCCACAGCCCGATGGTTAGAACACTCACCTGAGAGGCAGCAGACCCCTGTTCAAATCCCCTCTTTATCAGGCAGAGGGGGGACTTGAAGCAGGGGTCTCCCACATCTTGGGTGAGTAACTAACCACTGGACTGGGAGGTCCTTTCCCCTACCCCGAACTGTTTGGTATAGAGCTAGGTCGTCTCTGAGCACGCTTACCGGTTCAGGTCTGGCCGGCTAGATATGTGCTCCTCCGCCTGTCTTCCCCTTGTTTGTGGATCATGCTGGAGTTTAAGTGGGAGACAGGTGTCTGAATGTCTAGAGTGAAGCAACATTGTGCATGCTCAGAGATAGAAACAT